CTGTTTGGGCATTGCTAAACATTACTGGTACATCTCAGTAGTTCTTCAATAGCATTTATATTCATATGTATATAGTATTCCATGTTACGTTGTATTATCTGTAACCTCGGAGAAGTAATGTGAAGTATAGTGTATCAGATTGTTGTATAATTCTGTATAAATGGATAGTAAGTCATTTTGCTGTAGCTGCATATATTATAATGGAATTGTTATGTGTTATAACATTTGACATATCTAATTTTCGTCCATAGGACTCTATCTACAACATTGTAGTTAATAATTTCTATTTATAAATGCCGTTCGGACCATTTTGAGCAAAGATAGGTCGTGGCTAGCAGTGGAATAAAGAACGCACGCTTTTTTCCTATTTCCGACTCGTCAACTGGATGTACCTGCATCCCAGAGCTGATGTTCACTCTGGGACTCAAACCCAGTACCACTCGCTTCAAACGCCATCGCGTTATACACTTAGCTACTGAGTCCTGATAGCCACCTGCTTGTGAATTAAAGCTATATCGAGGCAATCCCCACATGATGCACATATGCCAACATGAGACTGATCAGTTGCAGTCCTAAATAACAACGGCAAGATACAAGTAAAAAAACAACACCAAGTGAATTTAAACTTCAGCCCATTGCACAAGCATGTGGCTATCAGGACTCAGTAGCTAAGTGTATAACGCGATGGCGTTTGAAGCGAGTGGTACTGGGTTTGAGTCCCAGAGTGAACATCAGCTCTGGGATGCTGGTACATCCAGTTGACGAGCCGCAAATAGGACAAAGCGCGCGTCCTGTATTCCACTGCTACCCACTATCGATCTTTGCTTATAAAAGCTTGTGAATTAAGGCAATAACGAGGCATACGCACAGTATGCACATATATATGCTAATAGAAGACTGATCAATTGCAGTCTTAAACCTCGATGGGGAGATACAAGCAAAACAATACCAAGTGCTATTTTCATCAGTTTTCATTTAAATGAAAAAATCCGGATTTTACACAACTGAATTCGTATTGGATACAATTAGTTTTGTCAAACAATCGACGCACCAAAATTCATGAAACCAAATATTTAGCGTCACTGTAGTTGCTTTACTTAACCTGACTTTATTAGAGTACTTATAATTTCATGATAGTTTTATTACGGTTTTGATCCTCCACAAGATGAATAACCCATTCACTGCTGTAACGTGATAATTTGCACTATTCAATTACAGCCGTCTTTTAATTTCATTGCCGTTTGTTTTAAAACTTCACATTCTCAGATGGTTGTCAGAAACGTTTCTGGTTCAATGGTTTTTAAACGTCAGTCAACGTAACAGAAATTAATTGAATTTTGAAGTATTCATATTGTTCGGTCTTCGTTGTTAAGCAGATCTTGTTAACGTAGTATTTAGATGATGGAAAACTGAAATCCATATTGTCACAAAAGTTTATTTAGTCCTAGCTTAACGCTGTAGCCGTTTTTGCCTATCTATATTCTTTTATTTTGTAATTAAGCCTGTATTTTTCATGGAATTTCCGGATCGTAACAATATTCTGTTTTCATATAACTACAATGGTAAATTTTAAATGTTTTCTTTATGTATTTCATTCATAGTTTGTCTGCGCTAGGCAATAGTGCAATATACCACGCCGATTCTGAAAAAGTAGACAATCATATCGATTATGAAAAATGCCTGTTTGATAAATTAGACAAACATTTAGATAAGTCAGATACTTTTAAGTACAAGGATTCTGCTGAAAACCGTTATGCACTTTCCATTCGAATGATCGATAGACCTGATTTCCATCTGGCAATTTCAGGGAAAACATGGTCTGTTATTCAGGAGCACTATCCTTGGCTAATACCTAAAGTAAGCTCTCTTTGAGAACTAATTAATATTATGTATCACTGTCTTTTATGCTACAATGGTTTAGCGTCTGGTTTTAGTTCCTAGCATTTGACCACGGATCTCATTTTGACAGTCGTTCAACAATATTTTCGTTGGTAAAAAATCATACTCAACGAGCTGTAATTTCACAGTTCCACTAACCGAAATATGACCATTCACTTGTATTTTAGCATTGATTCTCGTTCTAAGTGATATTTCAAATAGATGACGAAACAAGTAGCTCATTGACATGACCATTGTGTTAATTTAAATTCATGTAGTCTTGATACCATTTTTCCAGTCACCAAAACTGAAACTTAGGTCATAAAATTAAATAGAGAACATTTGCCTGTCATTCAAACTGAAATTATGTTTTAAATAAATTAATATATTTGTAATATCCTAATGAGTAGAAAAATAATTTTTTCTGACATTTCGTGACTCAGTGTAAGTCACTTCTTCAGAGAATAAACAACTAAATTAAAGTTAATCCAAGTTTGTGTTTATCTCTCCGAATAATATTCTAAAGTACCAGTATAATTGTTTGATTTTAGCTGGTTGTGAAAGGTACAGTGTTTGCTCGCTTCTCTCCTGAACAAAAAGCACAAGTGATTGAAGCTCTTCAGTCAGTTGGTTACTTTGTTTCTATGTGTGGAGATGGTGCAAATGATTGTGGAGCTTTAAAAGTAGCTCATGCTGGGATTTCCTTAAGTGAAGCAGAAGCAAGTATTGCTAGTCCTTTTACATCAAAGAAACAAAATATAAGCTGTGTACCTATGCTTATAAGAGAGGGTCGTTGTGCTCTTGTAACAAGTTTTGGAACGTTTAAATTTATGGCTGGTTACTCCCTTATTCAGTCATTTTCTACAATTATACTTTTTGCGGTAAGTTACATTTAAAATAATATATTTCTCCCTCTACTTTGTTTAGCTTAGTTCATTTTTGTTTTACGTATGTAATCAAATAGATAAATTCATTCGTACAACTACAGTAGAGCAACGTTGAATTTCCTTTTCTCATCTTTTAGAAATAATAAGTTGTTTCATAGTTGGTTGATTTTTATTCTTTTTTATAGTTCAGAAACGGAAGATTTGAAACAGTACCTAAAGTTTTTAAATACTAAGTTTCTACCTTCAATTACGTCAAGATCTTGATCTAATGTTATATCGTATTTATTTGTACAGTGAATTGTTAAAGACATCTTATTTTCCGTTTAATGAGGATATACTTGAGTTTAAAAAGTCATCAGATATGATAAAATATGCTGAAGTACAACGTTGGCTTCCGTTTTTCTCTGATTATGTTACGTTTTTCTTTCAGATCGGAAGCAATTTGTCCGAATGGGAATTCCTGTACTGTGATTTTGTCATAATAACGACGTTAAGCTTAACATGTGAGTTGTTATTTATTAGACTTAGTGTACTGTTTAAATCCCTTTCATTTTACCTGGTTTCTTGAGACATTCTCAGTGGGCTTAAGTATTTTGTGTCCATTATCCAAAGGTGGTAATTATTTTAAATTCTCTTTGATTCATGATTCGAGTCCAAATTTCAACAGTTAAAATGGGATACTTGATTTTAAAAAGTTTCTAAAATGATTGATGTGACTGCACTCATCAATTATATCAATTCAAAAAATCCTAGAATACAAAACATCCTTACATCTAACTTAACATAGTAAAATACTAAATAAATTCATATTCAAAATATTCAAGACAATATGTCTTCAGAGGAAAATCGAAAGATTTCATCTCTGTTCTCGATATCGTTTGTCATTTTCGGAAACTATAATGTATGCGCTTCTAGTTAATGTTATCCTGTGAACCCTTTCAATTTACTTGCTCGTGTTGTGGGAAACACTCTAAAACGACTTTAAACATGCAAATAAACACTCAGCTGATGCGAAACGTTAAAGCGGCATTGAGAAGTGAAGTAAACATACCAATCTTATCAAAATTTCTGAGGTGGATTTAAATCCGGAAGTACAGTTGATGAGTTGTTTAGTCATTGTTATGAACTTTTTCAGCCTAAAGATTTGTTTTATTCTCTATTACTGGAGTTTGATTCAGCTCCAGTCAGCATGTACATTTTGTGTTTTCAATTTAAAAGTATGTTTTTAAAAAATATTTATAAAAATTAAGTGATTTGGAGCGAAATACAAAGTTTACATCAAGAATACCTGAAAAGTATCGTCATTTTAATCTTTCAGAATAGCCTTATATTTTGTTGTTAGTAATATCAATAGATTCCTAAGCAAACTTTTATATTCACAATATTCTTTATTTTAGTTTGTAATATTTTTTTGTACATATGCGCATACACTTTATGTTGTGGTGTGAGGAACCTAACTTTTATGCTGATGAAAGATAATTTCATGAATTTTGTTGCTGTTCCAACTTATTAGTTTGTAAATAATCACGATGTCATTGAGAATGACCTCAGTGTAAAATAGTACAAAAATGTTACAGCATACACTGAACACTAATATCACATATGTCGAAAGTAAAGTTTGTGAAGTTTTTAGAAGAACATCTACATTCTTTATAGCTGTTGGACAGTACATCCATTTAAAAAAAGTTCGGATATTGTCCTAATGTAATTTGTAATAATGAAGCTTATCATTCATTTAAATTACCGTTTCAATCCTCTCCATAATTAGTCGATGACCTAAATGGTGGTAAATTTCTTCTAGATGTTAATGGCTTTATCATAGGTTTATCGACTTTGCACAAAACTATTATTAAACGTTTCAGGCACCATACCTTTGTGCTTTAGTTGTTCAACCTAATTTGGTTTTAACAATATTAGTTTTAGTGATGTTTACAAAAAATTACATAACAGACTGTTTTCTTAATGTTTTCTAATTCCTGGTTGGATAAGAAAAACAAAGCTTTTTGGATGAACCCCCTCAATCATTTTGTCAAATAAATATATCTGATTGCGATAATTTAATTCTTTTCAATTGATTGACACACTCAAATAATGCAAAAATTTCGAATGATTTTCAAACTGATCATGTTTGTTGTGTTGAGTAAAGTACAGAATATGTGATCACAAACGAATATATTGACGAAGGAGCGATTTTTGTACAGTTCAATCAATAATTGACAATAAATCAACCGATGTTCTACAATCACTTATTTATTTTTCACATGCGTCTCAAGTTGTCGTTAGCAAAACATTTGTTGTTCCAGTATTCAGTCGTGCTTCATTTTGACTGCAATTGGTAATTTTGAATACGAAATTTTCACTTTTACGTTCTAAGGAATTCTTACTGCACTAAGTTAGGAAAGCATCCTCTCACACTCTGTCCTTGATTGGTAATAACCATTGTATTCGCTATCAATATAATGGTTTTCTACATATACATATATTCTGTATATATAACATCAAATAACGAACATTTTGTGCTTGCTTATATAAGTAATTTCTTACTGCCAATGGTGGTTTTAGTAGATGAGTTGTATTATTATCTCTTAGGTAAAATTCCGGCTCAAAATCTAGTAGCAATCACGATTCTAAATAATAAGTAGTAGTTAATTGTGCTTTCGTAGACTAACTGTGAAGAGTTCCTAAGGTGACTACAAAATGTCGTTTTATATTCTGACTAGTTCAGGTTTAAAAAACCGGCTTATTTAAATTTCTAACCTACATATTCACTACAGCCGGTTACCCCTCCCTGATCATAGGGTGCCAACTACAGATATCCGAATAACTTTTTTCTTATTTCCAGTTGTTAATTGTCATTTGTTTTGATGTCTACCTCCAACTACTAACACCATGGATTATTTGGTCAGTCAGGATTCCAAAATAGGTCTTACCTTGTGATTCAGTTTGTTGATTTTCGTAAACTATGCCCCATTCATCTCCAGTGTCTGATTCACTCCTTAACTAGAAGATGAATTGTTTTCTTCCAGAGTAGAGTATTTCTGATCGACTCTTTCCAATAAATCTGGAGTATCTTGCGTAAATAGTTGATATGAAAACTTGTAACTTTTCAGTGATGATGGTGATATTCCCCTACTTTTTAACGTTATCGTTAAGAATTCTGACTTTTGTGCTGACTGACAGTACTTTATAGTTGAAGATATTAATTAATTAATAATCACCCCTAAGGTTGATTCATTGATTAGAAAGAATTCCAGTTATGTCGTTTGCACCATGAAAGCTTAACTGCACACAGGAAATGTGTTTTTCTCAAGAAAAATCTACTTTTA